GAATGACATCCTCTGGAACAAGCCTGAGTCAGAGTAGTGGGGAGGATAACAGGCTGGTAAATGCGATTAATGTTAAGATGTAGCTCCAAGGCAAAATACAAAATATGTCTATTTAGCTCACAATCTACGCAACTGGGAGGCCTTTCCTACTCGCTAGATTATTGTACGTTTCTGCAAATTGTCTGGAGCAGCAGTGAAACTGAAGACCCGTATAAAGAAACAACAAAAGCAGATGGAGCCCTTCCAATCCTCACGAGCCTGTTTCTCATCTCCTCACCAAAGCCACGGACCTGGCAGCTGGGAGAGGCCTGCGGTGTAGCTGTGTGCAGAGCAGCGAGCTCTCGGGAAGCAGGTAAGAAGTGGTAAAGTACATGAAGCCTTTAGGGTCTGAATTGGTGGAGATACAGAATAACTGAAACTCGAATTAAGAATGTATATCTACCCTCTTCATAAATCATAAAACGGATCTTCCTTATTTTTAATGCATATAGTTCAGTTAGCAATAAAATAACTGTAAAATATTAAGGGAATACACTACAATTTCATGTGCGATGTATATTGGTATATTTGTATTGTCATTCGCATTGAAAATTGTGTTATCTGTTTCTCTAAAATAAAAAAATTAAAAAGAAGCAGTTAAAAAGTGAGAACGCGGGGGCAGGACTCCAGACACTAGTTTGATGGCATTACCCCACGGCCAGCCAGCATTAGCCCTGGCCAGGGCAGCCTCGATCTGTGAGGTAACAGTGACCCCTGCTGGCCGCCGCACTGCAGGTGCAGGTGCTGCAGCTCCGGCTGGCCTACGCCCTCACCAGGAGGCGAGCGGCGTTCTGACACCAGGTGGACAGGCGTTGACGAGGAGGCTCGACTGCAGCAGCGACCCGAGCCAGTCACTGCGAGAGCCGAGAGGGCACAGGAAAAACAGGAGAGCCTTCCAATAGGAATGGATATTCCCGAATCGTGGAGGAACAAAACCTACCTTCTACGTCTTCGCTGCTTCCCTTGCTCTTGGCCGGATTCTCCTCGATCCCCAGGCCAAACAGGTCCGCGTCGTTCTTGGGCTTGAAGGACAGGACAGCGGGTTTCAGGGGCTCGGCGATCTTGGAGGGGACCACCAGGTCGTCGTCGGACAGGTCCGAGACATCCTCCCGGACCGGGAAGGTCTCCTGCTCGCGACAGGGAGGAGAAGGATCGCGACCGTGAGGACACGCGAGCGCAGGAGATGCTTCCTGTGACCATAAAAAAAAAAAAAGACGTCTATTTTCCGCACACTTGACGAAACGGCAAAGACCAAAAGTGGGGGAAAAAAAGCTCTTCCATCGGCACAAGTGTGTATTTTATACCTGAGAATAGCTGCACCCTGCACCCGCGAACACTTCAAGAGACTCCCCTCTCAGTCTTCCCAGGCCGTGACTTACAAACACTTTGCTTTAAACCCAACATTAAAAACAGCCACAACCCCCTTAAGGCAGAGAGACTATTCCTCACACCGGAGGTGCAGATCGCAGGCCCACAGAGACGCTGTACGCGGACGCCTGGAAGCAGACATCACTACCTTTGTGATCTGGTTGTCCGACTCCTCGCTGTCAAAGTCCGGGTCGTCCATAATGAAGGACAGCATCTGCTTGGCCACAGGCCCCTCGGGGTCCGTGTCGGAGGACTCGGGGTCCGCCTCACCCCCCTTCTTCCTGCCGGGGGGCCGCGCGGGCGGGGCGGGGGAGGCGGCCGGAGCCCGGAGGGCGCCGAGGGAGACGGGGTCCGTCTTGGGGCCCCGGGGGGGAGGGGTCTTCTCCGTCGCGCGGTCAGGCCGAGGAGGGTTGGCGGAAGATCTAGCGCACACGGAGGGGAATTAGAAAAAAGACACGGCTGCCTGATCCAAGCGCACAGATGGGGGGGAAAAAAATAAAACCCTCGTCACAACGGGCAAAGAAGTGCCATTCAGCTTCTGCAAGAGGTAGATCAACCGGAGAGGATAAACAGAACATCTGATAAAGCCTCCTGCAGTTATTTTAGACACACATTTCAGGCTTTCTGTAATTACCCCTTCTCTGAAGCTCAGAGAGACGCTGTGCTGCTGCTGCTGCTTAATCAGCCTGATGGCCAGTGGCTCCAGTCTTCTGCCCGGCTCCTGCTTACCGCTTAGTGTCCGACTTCCTGTCCAGACCCTTGTCCGTCACGGCTCCGGCCCCCTCCTCCTCCTCCTCCTCGCTGGACAATGCGATATCCTTGCTCAGGACGACCGGCTTGGAGGGGGGCTTTTGCGGGACCTTGTCGTCGGGGTCCAAATCATCCTGGAACCCGGCCACCATGGGGTTACCGCCTCTGGCCTCCCCATCACTGCGGGGGGACAAGTGCTGGACTTGACATACTCATCCAGGTTCAAGGACTTAAAGGAAATTACTGCACATTTGAATATCTTATTTTTTTCTTGTTATCAGGCCTTTTAAAGGTCCTACATGCAAAACCAAGAATACTGTATACAATATCCGGCTCCCGTGTACTGGAATCTATCCCACCTGTCGCTGTCCGCCCCGGGCTGCTCTGCGGGCTGCTGCTTGCCCTTCGATGGGGTGCTGTCCTCCAGGAACCCGCGGTCCAGGCCCTCGTCCGGCACGAAGTCGTCTACGCTCTGCACCCTCGCGGGCACCTCGGGGCCCCCAGGGGCCGGGGAATCTGAGCACAGAGAGAGAGCCCAGGTCAGCCAAGCGCAGCCGGCGTGCGGCCCTCCGGTCAGCGCAGCCCCTACTCCTCCAGCCCAACGAGCCGCAGCAAGCTGAAAGGCTGCTACTCCCAGCTCCCTGCAAGTCGCTGTAAATGTTTTTTAAAAGTGCCAATCGGGCTTGAAAAAGAACAGGTCTTCTTTGAAAATCCAGGATTCATCACTACGCTGCTCTATGCCTTAAGCCAACACAGAACATCTTGCGTAATGTCTGTACTTCCAGAGCCCACGATCTCAGTACTGCAAATCCTATTTGTTGTGTGCACTATCTGTGCACCGATTCAACAACGGTCTTACTGTTCAATTGTCTTACCAGCTGATCCTTTCTGGTTAACGCCACTCTATACTTTTTGGAATATGAAATCATCTTGCGTAAAGAGGTCAGCAAAATAAGTCATCCTGTTAAATCAGACCACAGTAAATGTAAAACCTTTAGTCGTCAGCTATAAAAACCTTGTGGCATTTGCATTAAGTTGGGTTCAGATCTTCAGCCTCAGCCTTCAGCTCAGTTTCATCACATACCACCGGCTGGCTGGATACAGAACTGTAGTCTTTGCACAGGACGGTCATGGACTGACTGTACTTCAATAACACACTTCACTGGGTTTCTCACTCGCTGCACAAGGGCATCCTGTCCTCTTATAAGCATCAGTGCTTTAACAAAAAAAAACAGATACTGGGGACTGTTGACATTTAGCGTGGTAGCTTTCCAAGATCTAACTTGACAGACGCTTATCCGGTATAAATGGATGTTTCGAGCTTATAAGCCATTTCTCGCTTCTGTTGACCCAACTGTGAAATGGCAATTAATTCCTAGAGAAAATCAATGCAGCCCTCCATTCAGGTGACGGGCTGTCCCCTCCACAGCACAGACCTGCAATGCAGCAAGTCGAGTGTCTGGACGACAGCGGTGCGACGGAGCCGCGCCGTGTCCTGGTAACGACGGCGCCCTGCCCAGCGTCCACAGACGCACTGCCCTCCGCTCTGCTGGAAGCCACGTCCGCAGAGAGAGCAGCCGAGCCCAGAATCAGCACGTCGAGACCCTCGGGCTTCACGCACAAGCCCTGCAGCGCCAGCCTGGCCGTCTCCTCAGCGCCACACGTCATTGAATGTTTCAAAACGGAACCCTTATCTCGAAACGCTTCCAGTTCTTTCCAACGCTTTACATTCTGCCTTGATTGGGTTTTGACAGATGCTTCAAGACAGTTTCCCGGTTTGTTATAATTAGCTGTTAAACTTAAAATACTAGATTTAAAATTGAGACTGATGAGAAGCCAAGGCAAATTACTACTTACTGCTGCTTACTTAAATGAAGGGAAGGAAATTGCAGTTTTGCCGACGTGAGATGCAGCACCGTGCCTGGCACTGCCCATGGAAGAGACCACACCCCCCACCCATCGGACCACCACTGC